TCTCCTCATCCTCAACAGGTATGGCATGAGGAGCAGATATGATCAAAAGTTCTGATTTTAAAGTAGGTCATTTGCACTGTGGGAAGGTTTTCCATGAGCTAATGCCTTGAAATGGCAGCTGAATGTGCTTCACTCACTTGAGTGAAATTGGTACCACGATCTGTATCCATGCAAGGACATTGAAGCTAGGCAATGCAGGAAGCATTCAGCAGAGCTGGGTGAAAAAGCAGGCAGCTTGGTTCCCAGATCCAGTTACATACTTCTTTTCCTACATGCTTCCTAAATAGCTACTCTCTCAGGCTTTAAGCAGGCAGAAAGCATTGGAGCTGTAAAAAGTAAACCTGATGTTCAGGCTATTCTCTGTCTTGCGGGCATTTATTTGCCAAAAACTTCCTCTCTGCTTCAGTGCAGCCCCCAGCATCATTTTCTATCAGTCAGTCATCAAGTTATAGGGCATTTTGCTTGAAAAGTACCTTATTTTTTATTCTATGTGGAGAAAGGATCTTCAGGAAGAAAAAGCCCTTGAGTTAAAAAGAGCTCCCCTCCTTAGCAAGCACTGCTGTTTGTCACCATCTCGGAAATTTGTAAACTCTTTTCTCTGTATTTATCTAACTCTGCTATTTTGGGATTTGCCGTAACTGTCTGCACCAATGAGGTGTGTGTGGAAGGGAGAGCGTCTATGCTGCTTGGCTGATATTTTTGGCCAGTGCAGAGCTCATTTCTGGGAACCTGGGTACCACAGGAAGATGCAGTTCTGATCCCCTCCTCTCTCTGCCTCCTCTTCCTCTTCTGAGAGCATTGATGCCCACAGTGGCTCAGCAGTCCTCAGCATAGATGCCTCTGGGTGTGCCAAGGGATGGAGGAGAGGGGAGAAGGAGACTGGGATGGATGGCACAACTGGCTGCAGTGGGACCTCTTCTCCCATTCCAGCACTCTTGTGGCTCCAGGAAAATTCTTCATGACAGCTGAAGGAGGTCTGCACAATTTTGCCTCCCAGGGGCATGATGGGACTGTGATGCTCCATAAGAGAAGACAGTTTACTTCCTCTGCTTTCCCAAAACTGCCCTGGCAACTCCCAGATAGCCTGTTCCTCTGTGGGAAAGAGCAGCAGGGGCCAAACGTGGCTAGCCAGGAACAGAAAGGAAAGGACTTAATCAGCCCACAGTCCTCCCCAGAGAGGTGTGAGTGCATGCATATTGTCTGCATACACGTGTGTATGTACCTTAATACCCTGCAGTTTCCAAGACACTCGTATATTTAAATTTTCTTGTCTGGCAAGGGTCTTTCCAAGCCAGCTCCAGACACAGTTAACTCTGTCTGCCCTATTCTGCTCTCTTGTGCTGTCAGCAGAGAGACCTGTCCTAGCCTAAACAAAGTTGTGTTCAGAGCCATTGTACATCTACTGATCACACACAGAGGTCTTCCAGATTTCTTGGAAGCTTGCAGGAAAAATTTTTTTAGTTCCAGAGTTTTGATTAGGGCTTGTCTTCCAGTAGCCAGGAGGTCACAGTGTCTGCACAGATCACAACCTGAACATCTGCATCCTATTACACAGCATGGTGATTATTTTTCAACATTCCCCACGTCTTCTAGCAGTGACAGTGGTGATTAAAGCCTGGAGTGGATTCCTGAGTAGCATTTCAGCTTCCTTTACTTTCGCATCCTGACCGTAAACAGAAGAAGAGGGTTCTCCTTGGGCACTGGGTCAGGAAGCCCATGTGCCTTAGGGTGATGCTGATGCACTGATGAAAGCCCGGAGATGTCAACTGGTACAAAGCAGCTGAACAAACCTGCCAAGGGATGCCAACAATAGCAGGATATCACTGCAGCTTGCAGGGAGGAGATTTCCATTCACTGATTTGGCTCCTGTGCCAAAAGCCGTCCAGTGGTCCAAGGAATAAAGCCATTGTCTCCAGGAAGTGACCTGCAGCAGACTCTGGTGGCTCAGAGAGAGTGACAGGGATTTGGTTTCCCATCTGCAGTGCCAGAGCAGCAAGAGAAGGAGGAGGAGGTATGTGAGGCTGGGCAGGCTCTGGGCAGGACACCTCTGGGCAGCTCCCCTTGCACTTCTCACATTGTCTGGAGCCCTGCTACAAGGGGGCTTCATAAACAGTCTTGTTAAAGACTGGGACTTCATTGTTCTCCTTGGTGGAGGGAGGGGAGACAGATCAGGGAGATCAAGGAGCCAAGAGGAAAAGGATTATTCATGTCAAGTCTATAGCAAGCAGCTGGAGCTGCCAAGCAAGTATTCCAGCCAGGAGACAGTCTCAAAATTTCCTGACTGAGAAAGGATTTTACTTTCTCTGCTCATTATGCACGGTGGCATTAATGAGTCCACATTTCTGGGCTGTTGAGTTTGGCCTTGTGCAGGTCAGCATTCAACATTCAAGAAACTTCCTTCACTGTAATTTTCCCTACAAGTCTGTGAGGCAGCCAAGGGCAGGAAACTGTATAAATGAGGGCAACTGCTCCGGGTGGGGTCCCAGCACTGAAAGCAGCTGATGTCTAAGGTCTGGATCCAGCCAGAGGGAAGAGAGGCGAGAGAAGGCCAGACTCATCCAGCTGCTCACCCCTTCTCCAGGGAAGAGGGGCTGTGGCACACACCAGGGCACACACCCTGCACAGCAGCTCCTGCTGCTTCCCCTCACCACAGCTCCTCCTGTCCTGGTCCCTCGTTACCTGCCTGGTATTTCTCTGCTTGCCTGCTCATCTGTCTCCTCCTCGGCGTGTGCCAGCGTCCCTTCCCCATGTGCCTGCCTGCAGTGCAGCCCTGTCTGCTGGCTTGCTCTCAGTAAAGTCTCAGGTTGCCCGGGGCTGCCTGCACATCCATGTCCATCTGTGTTTTTCTGCTCAGTTACGCTCGTGTGCTTCTCCCTGCGCCCGCCTTCCAGCGCCTGCCTGTGTCTCTGCTTGCATCTCCTTCCACTGGCCCTTTTTATCCTGGTGAACAGGACAGGCACGTGCACCCAAGCCCCGTGCACCCAAGCTGGCTGGAATTGCACCGGCTCAGAGCCAAGACAAAGGACAGGGAAGAGGAGAAGGGATGGGGAACGTGAAGGGGAGTCTATTGGAAAAGGCCTAGGGGACAACCCAGCTTCTTGCTGCCTTGCATTGTTCTCATGGAAAAGATCTTCAGATAAGGCTGCTCACTATGGCAATGACCTAGTGCCTGCAAGCCACCAAGCTGGAGGTGAAGAGAAGCTCTCCTTCATCCTCCAAGACAAGGAGGGACGAGTAGGAACCAAGGCAGCTGCCTCTTGGGCTAACGGGGGTCAAGGGTGGGGGGCACAGATGCTCATCAGAGCTCAGGCAAAAGGGGAGGGCTGCAAGGCTGGAAAAGGCAGACTCAAGGCAAAAATCCCCCAATTTCAGAAAAATGCAGGTTGTGCAATTAAGGCTGTTAGGGATAATATTGCACCTCTCCCTCAGATAAAGGGCAGCTGGCCCTGCATGACATAGCTTGGAAATACGTGCTCAGAGCCTTGCTTAAAAATTTGTTCCCTACACAGTGGCAACCACATCACACACCAGATGAACTGCCACCTGCACGAGAAGCTTCTGTGCTGTGCCCACAGGTGTGGTGGTGCGGGGGGAGGATGCTGCAGCAAGGGCATGTTGAGACTTTCCGAAAAAGTTTGCGAAGGGCAGGGGACCTGTGATTGCTGTGGGCTTTGAAGAGTGCAGAGGACCCTGATGGGCCAAATTACAAGAAGCAGAGAGATCAGGTGAGAAACCCTGGAAGAGGAGGGACTGGCAAGGCTTCTGGAGATATAGCTGGGAGGAGAGATGGAGCATGTTGGCTCTTGCTTCTTGCATGGCACATGCCACACAAGTGGTCAGAGCCACCCTGGACCACCGGCAATGCCAGCAGTGTACACATGTGCAGGGAGATAGATGCAGGGGTGGGGAGACAGGAAGAGGCACAGAGGCAGGCACAAGATGAGTCAGCTGTACCAGCTGATGACTGGGGGGGTCCTGGAAGCTGTCAACATTTCTGTCTCGCTTTCTGGAAAATACCCAGCCTCAATGGAAAACTACTGCAGCAGAAGTTACCAGCACAATTCCTGCTTTGAATACCGGGCCAAAACCAACACAGTAGTGGCTTACTTTCCCAAATTTTAATATGACTCCTTTAGTCCTATATGGAACCAAAGAAACCTTAGTGAAGCAGTTGACATGATGGAAGCAAGGGATGCCATCCAGATAACCTGGACTAACTTAAGATCTGGTCAAGGTCAAGTTGTTGCGCCTTGTACGATTGTGGTCATAAACACTTAATCCAATTTCAATCTCATCAATGTCTTCTGGGAGATCAGGACAGAAGACTCTAATCGATTGAGGAGACTCCTGACGCTTCCTTTTTCGCCTGGCCAGCCAGCAGATGACGGCAAGCAGGACCAGGGCAATTGCAGCAGTCCAAAACAGCCACCCAGAAAAGAACTGGCCTTCCTCTGCAATCTTCTCAATCTCCTGCAGCAAATGAATCAACTCCTTGTGCAGATACACCTCACGCTCCAGCATCTGTTTGGCCATGGCTTTGCTGATGTGGTGACACTTCTTCTGGCCAGGCTGGATGATCTCTCTGGCCACCAAAGCTAGGAGGAGAGCATTTGCTGCAGCCATGGCCTGGAGGAGGTGGGAGGAAAGGGGACTCATCAGGTCTGTGTGGAGGGAGTAGGGAGCTGGGGGTACCCAGAATGTTCCCAAAGCCTCTCTAGGCCATCTCTGGGAGCCCTGAGCCTCTCTGCCCCCAGACCCAAGGGTGCTAGTGCCCTATCCTGAGGGGCTCAGCTCTCTCTCTGTTTCAGAACCCCCTGACATCTGCCCTATCCTCCATCCAGCCCAGCCTTCTCCCTGCACGAGCACTCACCAACACCTAAGTCCTACATGAGAGCAGCTGTGGTGGAGCTGGGGCTGCCTCCTGATGCTTCTGGTGACTTCTCCCACTGTGAGCCATCCTCCATGATGTCACAGCCACCAGAGCCACATCACCCAACCAGCAAGCCCAGCCTCCATCCCCACCACCCAGCTCAGCGAGGCCTGGCCACCACACCAAGAGCAAACCCCATCTGCAGAAGAGAGCTCCCAGGAATGCTCTTGACAAGGAGACTCCCCTCCAAAACTGTAATTGAAATGAAAATGGGGACTGCAGGTCCCTGACATAGGGGTGCGATGTTTTCTGGGCCAGGTGGTCTAACTCCAAGTTTCCTTGGAAACAAGAGCTACAAGCCCTTGTGCAGAGACAACTCCAGTCCCTCTGGTCCTCTTGGCTTCCTTCTGCTGGGGCAGGGCATGTGGATAACAGTTAATTTAAGTAAAATTTATAAAAAATCAGTGTAACCACAGCTAAAGGTCTAGCAAGGAATGCCTGCAGCTGCCAGCACTCTCAGGTACAGCAGCAGGAGGGAACATCTTCACTGCCCATGGGAGAAAGCTAAGAAAAAAAAGAAAAATCTCATTACTTTTCATTCCTTCAACTACCCATTTAACTCCCCTTGCCTTCCGCTTGTTCCTGGCTATCTAATTAGATTTCCTCAGATGACCATGTTTCAGGGCAGAAGGCTGCTGGGGGGGGGGTGGGGGGTGCCAGTCTGGTCTCCCAGTCCTTGGCCAGCTGCAGGGAAGCAGTGGGGCTGTGTGCACCCCCACGCTCCCTGTGTCCAAGCTCTGTCCCTGGCTGCTTTGTAATGGAGAGGTAACAAAGGGAACACTGCAGTGCCACAGCAGGTTAGGAGATAAGCAGCCCTCCCTTAATGAGGACATGATATACCTGGCAAGACTGTACCCCTTGTGGGAACAACAGGCTCTTTCACTCCAGGCCCTGGCAGAGCCAGGAGCAGCTGTGGGACAGAGGGAACAACAGCTGATAAATCAGCTCAGCACCACCAGCCATAGCAAGCCCCACATCAGCCATTGTTGGGAAGCCTTGGGATGTCCCACGTTGGAATCCACCAGCAATCACAGCAGGACAGCAATTTTGGAGGGCTTCAGCTTTGCTAAAATTGGCTTTTCCAGGAAGGCAGATGGGCATGGCAGTTCTCCAGCACCAAGCAAAAGCTGCATTTCTGCCGCCAGTATCTGCTGAGGGAAGCCAATCCCAGAGAGAAAAGGGCAGCATTAGCACATTGAGAGACCTCTGCTTGCTGCTTGGGAGGTAAAATCCCCACTGAAAGGAGCCAAATTGTTACTGTGTGTATCTAAAGGCACTGAATTATTAAGGAGATCTCTTAAGGCTGCAGGTGAAGCAGAGAGCTTTATGGATGGATGATATTAAATGTAATGGATCTCTAATGGGAAACCACCTGATTGCCACAGAATGGTTTCTCAGCTGTGGAGCAAACACAAGCAGCTGGGGTGAGTGTGGTACAGACCATGATTGCCCCAGGGGATGACTGGGTTTAGTAGTCCTTTGCAGCATTTTGGAGTATTACAGAGAGCCTGTGATGGAGAGGTACTCCCTCCCACCCCGTTCTCTGAGAACATTCACAATCCAGCCTTTGCTTTTTCTGGATGAGCCCAAAACAGCCTTTCCCTGTCTCATCAGCGCACACTCACATGTCATTAAGGTCATGTAAAAGCTGGCTGTTGTTTCCAAGCATCTAGATTTTGCCAAAATTAGGCTGGATTTGTGGAAACTGGGTTCCTGAGACCTCAGGCACTCTCTGTTTGAATAGCAGGCCAAACACAGCAATGCTTGCTGTCTCAGATTTTAATATGACTCTTTTAAAAAGTCTCACATGGAGCCACAAATTACAAAATTTGTTTATTTAGAGTATCAGAGAGGAACCATGAAGTACCAATACTTTAGGAAGCAGCAGGGAAATACCCGCCAATCATCCCAAAGGAGTTGGACAGGGTTCTTCCCAAATGGTAAGGAGGGTGATAGCCCAGCTGAAGTGTCTGTACACCAATGCACACAGCATGGGAAACAAGCAAGAGGAGCTGGAAACCATGGTGCAATTAGAAAACTATTACCTAATTGCTATCCTAGAAACACAGTGGGATGAGTAGCATGACTGGAACACTACAATTGAGGGCTACAAGTTTTCCAGAAGAGACAGGCTGGGAAGGCAGGAGGATTGTTGTGCTTTAGGTTAAGGAATGGACGGATTGTGGAGAATTGCCTCTGAGAAACAGCCACAGACAGGCTGAGAACTTGTGGATGAAAATCGAGGATGGGACCGCCAAAGGACAGCTTGTGGGTGGGGTCTGCTCCAGGTACCTGACTGGTTGATAAGGCTTCTTGTTTCAGCAGCAGAAGCCTCACACCCACACAATCTCATCCAGATGGAGGCTTTCAACCATCCAGACATCTGCTGGGAAAGCAGTACAGCAGGCTGAGAGCAATCCAGGAGACTCCTAGAGTGCCTAGAGGACAACCTACTGGTCCAGGTATCGGACAAAGCTGCCAAAGAAGTGTTGCTGGACCTGGTGCTCACATGTGCTGATGAGCTCATCAGAGAAGTTTAGTGGAGGCTGTCTGGACTGTAGCAGCCAGGCCCTGGATTGGGTCCATGATCTTGAGGAACATGGGTCTTGTAGGGATCAGAGTGAACTTCTATCTGTTTAAAAAATTAGTGGACGAGATCCCCAGGAAAGCTGCCCTTAGGGACAGAGGAGCTGACCAGAGCTTTCAGGACACTGTTCTTAGCTCTCTATACACGTGAGTCAGGAATCAAGCACTGAGTAATTCTTTAGGTGACTTGAGGAGTAGAAGAGGCCATTACAGCTGACTACTCTGCTCTGCTGCAACAAGGAAGCCTTTGCTCCAAGACCTCACAATCAAATATAAGACAAACAAGAAAGGTGGAATAACCAGGGTGGAGAGGGAGTCAAGGGCCAGAGGAAAGTGTGATGTGTACCAGAGCTACAGGGACTGAGGCTTTCTATTCCTAATTAACAGACTCACTTGTCTTGTTTTCTGCTCTGACCACCATATGAGCCTTTTAAATATAGAAGGCTCCTCCCTGGCTATGTACACAGCCAGCCAGGCACCACCATCCATCTCAGCTACATGGCCACAGGTCACATTTTCAGAACCACTTGATGGGTGGATTAATGGCTGCCTTTTTATTGCCAGCTCCCCAGCTTTTGAGGCGGGGTGGAGGCAGGAAGGAAAAAAATAACTAATAAAAACACACCATATGTGAAGTTTTGAAGTGTCATGAAGGTGGATTTAAAAAAAAAGCTGAGATTTTATTTTAAAATTAATCTGTAGGGGGTTTATTTGCTGCTTAGTATGAAAAATGTGAGGCTTGTAGGCTCATTTTTCACACTTCCCCCCACACACAGCCCAGGCCTGGAAAGTTACTTTATTATTTTTAAATGAAAATATGGAGCTTTACTGGAATAACTAGCAACTGTGGGTGTTCTTCAGTGCTGCCCAATGCAGCCACCCGCGCAGAAAAATCAAGGTTTCTATTACATTTAAGATGAAGAGCAGGGTCTCTCATCCTCTCTTTCAGGCTTTGAGAGGTAATATTTATTATGAAAACCCGAGAAGTGATTTACAAATAACTGTGATGGTTGATACCAGTTTGATGTACTAAACAGCTGAAATTGATGACTTTAGGGTTGTTTTGTCTTTTTTAACTATTACTATCAAGAGAGAAACTACCCAGATCTAAACACTGCCCTGTAGGCAATGCAAATAAAACCCCAGCAGGATGCAGAAGAAGGTCTGGGTGCAGAGTAAGGGGAAGTCAGCAAATGGTATGCACAGAGCCTGGGCTTAGAAGGGGGGCTAGGAAATAAATCCCCATGACTGGCTGTCTCCATCGCCTATGGAACTGCAGCAAAGCAGCACTTCGGTCAGAAATCTCCTGTCCAAGCCGACGTTTCTCACAGTGGAAATCCAACCCCCCCGAAGGACAGGGAGGGATTGTTTTAACCTCTCGGGCAGAGCCAAGTCTCCAGCCGCGCTGCAACAGGCAGCAACGCTGCTCCAGTGCTGCTCCTGCTGCGGCACAGCTCCAGCCCTGCTCCTGCTCCCAGCCAGCCCGCGGCCGGAGGGATTTGACCGCAGCAGCGCTCCCCTGCCAACAGTCCCGACAGCCTGCTGCACTTTGCATGCAGCTGCTCTGCCCACAATGATTCAGCCTCACCCTGGCTGCCCAATGCTGCCTGTTATTCTTCAGAAAACCAGGGTGACATGAGTCATCTGGTCACACCAGGACAAGGCCAAGCACTCTGGGGTCCCCCCAGCTGGCTCAGCTGCAGGACCATCCTCAGCCTGCTGGCTGCAATAGGCCATGCTTATCCTCTGTAGTCCTCAGGGCTGCAGCCAAAAGCACCTGTCCATGACATGGGGACACATGGACTCATAGAATGGCTTGTGCTGAAAGGCACCCTGAAGGTCATCTTGTTCCAGGCTCCCTGCCATGGCCAGGGACACCTTCCACTAGAACAGTTTGCTCAAAACCCTGTCCAGCCTTGAACATCTCCAGGGATGGGAGCATCCACAATTTTTCTGGGCAACCTATTCCAGTGCCCCACCACCATAAAAGTAAAGAATTTCTTCCTAATAGCTAATCTCAGCCTACCCTGTTTCAGTTCAAAGCTGCTGCCCCTTGTACTATCACTATGTGCCCTTGCAAATAGTTCTCTTCCTCTTTCCTGTAGGTCCTCTTTAGGTACTGTGCTGAGTGCCAGCAAGGAGTCACACCAGTAGCCCAATGCTCTTTGTGCCCTGACTGCTTGTCCCAGGAAACACTGTCTTGAAAAACCACATAACCCGGGGAAGGGCTGACTTGCTGACACAGGGCATGCCCTTGCCCAGCAATTCATTTGGATGCAAGCAGTATTTGCATGATAACTACTCTGCCTAAGTAACATCATGTATAGTATGAAGTGTGAGTACTTTTCCTCTACTCTGAAATAACTTCATTTAGAGATGAGCTTTTTGAGATGCATGAAGCTCAAAGCAGATCCAAGGTACTGCTTACAGTTTCCACACAGCATCATCCTGACTTTCTTGGACTGCTGTATGTGACCAGAGGAGCCATGAGGTGCCCCAAATCACAGCAGGAGGGTAGAAGCATCATACTAAGCAATTAAAGGGCACCCCCATCCCCCACACCAGCTACCCACATACCTGGACTTTCCTTCAGGCTGGCACAGCACCCACTGCCTTCCTGAGCTGGTATCATAGCAGGTGGGAAGGAATTTGGACCCAGCGGATCTGATTGGCAGCACTGTTAAGGAGGCACATGCAATCTTCACAGGCTGAAAGTCTGGCTTTAGGACTAGAACTGCATCCAAAGTGCCTGGCTATATCTGGACCCCATGCTACCTGAGGGCACTTCCATCCCAGCAAGGGTGGCTGCTGTGCTCAGCAGCCTGGAGTCTGCACCGTGGTGTGGTGAAGCAGGGGGCAGTGAGTGGTCTCAGTTCATCTGTGGGTTTAAAAGCTCTTCCAGAGAGAAGGAACATGAGGGAGCTGTGTAGCTGTGTAAAGGGCTGATGAGAAATATTTAAATATTTCAGTTCCCAGTGTAACTTGAGTCATTTGGAATGGAAAGTTTCCATTACTCAATAAATCTAGTGCATTCATTTAAAAGGAAAAAAAAAAAAAAAAGAAATTAAAATGGACAACTTTTGGTGTTGGCTTGAGGAACATAACAGTGCAGCAGAGTCACAGACAAGCACCACCCACCAGCAGGTTCATAATGTTCTTGGCCCAAGCTAGGGCCAAGGCGGGACACGGGGCAGGCATAGGGCAATGGGCACATTTGCTGCCCAGGGAAGGCCTGCTCAGTCATGCTTGCATAGGTAATGCAGAGAAAAATTTAGGCTAGGATCAGAACAGGTGAGAACAAAAACCCCAAACCTGTGCACCTTCAGATGAAATTAAATTGCAAGAGAAACTTTGTAGGAACATTTATAACGAGGTGCCCATGTCTGAAGCAGTGCTGCGCACTACCTGACTGTGAGAACAAACTCTGCCCAGGAGTACGGACATGATCACCCCTGGCTTCTGCCCAGGAAGGGCAAATAGTGTCTTGCCAGGGATGGTTCTGGTGCTGGATTTAAAATGTTGGAGGATTAGCTCTGCCTGCCCCAGCTCCTTCTGCCACCGCCACCAGTGGGGCTTGTTCCTAAGGCATGCTTCACAGTGAACCACGCTCCCCACATCAGGTGTTTGGGGGAAAGGAGGAGGCTTTTATGTACCGCACTGCTACTGTCAAGCAGCCCTCGGCCACCTCGATGGCCTCGGAGCGGGATCCGAGCCGGGACCGAGTGGGGAGCAGGCGGTACGGGATGGCGGGGCTGCACTGCACTCCAGCGGCCGCCGAGCTCCGCAAGCGGCATCTGGTGGGGAAAGGCATCCCTCGGGCTCCCTCTACATCCCTGACCATCCTCAGCCTTCCCACTGCGACAGCTCCCAGCCCTCCCCAGCGCCTCTCTGTCACAAAGATGATTTTAGTATTTACAGCCACTTTAGTGCCCCTCGTTCTCCTGCTTCCCCTCCGTCCCAGTCTTCCTCCAGCAACACTGCAGCCAGAGGAAAAGCTTGCACAAGGACTGTGGCTTGGTTTGGGGAGCTGGGGGCTGCTTCCAGCAGATACAGGAACTCACGAGTGAAATAAGTAAACAGAGCAGGACCCTTGGCAGCACCTTTTTCCCTAGCACACCAAAAATACACAGGGCACAAGGGAGAACACAACCAAGGCAACCTGGAGCCTCCCAGCCCCTTCTCCCCGGTGCTTGCAGCTCTTCCAGGGGAAGAAGCAGCGTGATGGCACTGTGACACTCTAGAAGGAACCAGCTGGCATGCACTGGATGTGGGGCATGAGCTGCACCCTTGCCAGCTTGCACACAGCAGACCCTACAAGCTCAGGAGCAGGGGACGAGAGCAAGAAGGGCTCTCCCTGGAAGGCTGTGAACAGAGCTGGAAGCTGAGCTCCCATTGTCACCTTGATGAGCACCAGAGCACCCAGCTGCCAGCAACAGGGCCAGAGTGATGCCCTGCCCCTGTTGGGGGCGAAATAAATGCCCCCTTCACCTGGAGGTACAGCTGCAGTGCAGAAACTGTTCCCAAATACAGCTGGAGTTTCTGTGGAGCTGAGGCACAGACAACCTATGGCAGGGCTCCCACCTGAGCTGGCTGGATCAGGCAGCAGAAAGGAGGGTGGAGAATTGTTGCCTTCCTGCAGCACGATAGTGCTATTGCATCCACTCACACCCTGCCCCTGTGTTTCTGGGCAGACACTGACAGTAGTCCAAATACTTGTACAGCTTCCTGCCCAAGCCAGAGGAACAGAATCACTGCAAATACTGCTATTTCTGGTCAGTCTGAGGAATACGACCTTGCCAATCAGTCCTGCCTTGTTGCAGGGACCATTTTTGAAACAGAGGCCAAGGCAGTGGCATAAAAAATGCTCTCCTTATGACAAATCCTGCATTTACAGACAGAAACCATTGTAAATTATATTTACAGCCAAGATTCAAAAAAATGTGCAGATGGAGCACTGCAATTTGGCAAGAGATGGCTCCATAATCATCAAGAAGGATTTAAACAAGCAAACAAACAGAAAGGAAACCATACCATTAATGATATCAAATATCAACAGAGGGAAAAACAACACAGCCTCACTGGTAGCAGCAGCTTTTCCACCTACAGAGCAACCAGGCAGTCACAGATTTCTTTCACAGCTCAGCACAGGTTAAGGAGTCAGGCCAAAAGGCTGGGAGAGCTGGGTCCAGGTCTGCCTGTCACCCTCTGCTGCACTACCTTGGACAAGTCACAGGCTGTCCTTTTGCCCTGTGCACCAATACAAGTAAGGAGAAGCCTGGAATATGCAGCACCACAATCACACCTCCCTCCCTCTTCCCAAAATGGTGCCCAAATGTCATACTTGGAAGGAAAAACTTCAGATCTCTCACCTTAAAAATCCTGCTAAATCCAGCTCAAGTTTTACCCAGTTGTTCCAGGTTCTCAAGATGGGCCGATGTGGGTTCATGTCCTGTAGGCCAGGGAGAGGGCCTGAAGATACTTTTGCGGATGTAGGGATAAATTGAAGGAAGAAAAAGAGGGAGTCCTGTTGATTTTAATGGTCATCTTTCAAAGTACCACGTGTCTGTCTTACAAGGGTCTCAAATGAGACCCCAGCACCTGCACTTCATTTGACCAGGCTTTCCCAGCTTGTAAGAGCAGACCACTGGAAAAAAACAAAAC